AAAAATAACCACCACCAAAAAAAAAAAAAAAGAGTAAATTACATTGGTCAGTTTAAGGAAAAAAAATGACTACATGAATCTAAAATTCAGCTCTTTGTTTAGAGCCAGTGGCAAAATCATTCTGAAAGGAGGATCTTAGTCTGATGAAATAGAAGCCTGCCCATTCATTCAATGTGATCTTATGGGAACAGATGCTTTAAATACTTAAAGCTGAGTGTCGGCATAACAAAAGCAAGTTAATCATTCCTTTTTACTTTTACTTTTGCAGATTCAAACCAAGGACAGAACAATGCTTGAAAATAAAACACTAATATTTTTCAAGGCTGGTTTTTGTGATTATAAGGAAGATCAAACTCTGTTTTGGAAGCACCAGGGTTGTAGTTTTTTATTTGAGTAATAAACACGCTGGCTAGAAATCTATACATTTGTTGTACAGACATATGTACAGAAAGATCTTCCCACATATGGAAAGAGTCCATTGACTATATGGGCAAGGCAAAGGGCTTGTGCAAGGTACAAAGCTCTGGGCTGGTCCTCACGTCAGGTCAGGTGTGCAAGGAGACTCATGCATCCCCATTTACCCTTTCTCTTGATATCTCCATAATGCTCCCATTTAATAGAATTAAATTTTAATAGAATTAAAATTTGAAATTTCCAAGGTCATAAATTGTTAAATTTATCATCAATTATGACTGTTAGGTGACATGAATATTGAGTCTGTGTTAGTCACCTGCAGAGGGCTGTTCCTCCTGGACTCAAAGGTCCTTGTGTGAAAGCTTACGGGTGAGTGTTCTTACTAAAATATCATAGGTTGTGAGACTATGCCCTTCAATATATATACCTATATTGCACTGAAGCTGGTTAGAGAAGAGTAAGATAATCACAAATCAACTGAGAGGTGCCTGGGTGACAGAGGCAGTTAAGCATCTGCCTCTTGGTTTGGGCTCAGGTCGTGATCTCAGGGTTGTGAGATCAGGCCCCGCGTTGGGCTCTGCGCTCAGCGAACAGTTTGCTTGTGATCCTCTAATCTCCCTCTGCCCCGCCTCCCCCCTCACCATGCTTGCTCACTTGCGTGCCCTCTGTCTCTCTCTCTCATTCTCTAAAATAAGTAAATAAATCTTAAAAAAAAAAAAAGAACTCAACCGAAAGACCAAGAAACAAACAAACAGAAAGAATGGAAAGAAACCCACATTCTCTTTGATGAGAGGCTCTTTTCATTACTACTAAATGGCTTTATGCTTTATAAAATTATTGCTCATCTGTAAATGCCCCAATCATTATTTGATTATAATCAAACAGTACATTGTATGTAAGCCAAGTTAGCTGCCACTTGGAATAACATTTGAATTTAGCACAGAATCACTTGTCATCCTTACAGTGAACCTGAAACACTAAAGACAGACAGATTCATTTGGAGAATAAAAGTAGAATCACGTTCTTACATTCAGCTTTACAATCCCATCTGCAACAAAACTTACATGTACGTCAACACTGTGAACTAGTATCAGTATCAGTACTTTTATAGTTATCTCTACCAAACCTCTACACCATAACATATTTCTTCACTTTGGAATTTTTCTTCCTATATATAAAATGTCATGAGAAATAAAATAAAACAAAATGGTAACTGCTTTTAGTAGGTTTTTTGACAAAGACATACATAAATCATTCATAAAATAGTATCCCAATCATATAAACAAAAAGAAATCAAATAATGTGGGGAAATAATTGAAAAGGTTAACTGATTATTTCTGAAATTGTGCTTTTTTCTTAATGCTTTAACTGTATTTTCCACATTTTCTAAAATGCAAATGTTTCAGTGTCATCATTGAAAACACAAACCTTATTTTAATTTTTAAAGAACCCTGTGGTGAAACAAACTGTGAATGCCAATGCCTTTAAAATAATATAAAAGATAATGTGCACCTTAGAAATACTAAGTTTAGGTATCTTTCAGAAGTTCCATGAATTCAAGACGCAAGTACCTTCTGGCACTATATAACCACAAATTGTTTAAAGAGAGCCTCTCCCTTTGCAGCACAACGAACTTCTTTTTGTGAAGAGTGCACAGAAGCTTTAAGTGAATTCAATTTCCAGAACATAAAGTATCACTGGCATCAAGTGAAACCATCCAATAAATGGCTTGACAATGCTGAGTGCTAACGATAAGAAAACAGAAAGCCTATCATCGCATTTTCCTACCGTTCATATTTAAACCATTACAGATTTCTTAAGTAAGCACCTGCTCTGCAAACTTCTTTTGCTAGGTCAAGCCCTCCCAAACAGGAAGCTGAGGGCTGGGTTATTTTTAAAGTCTTACAACTGGCTCACACTCCCTCTTAAACTCTCTGAGCCTAATCCCACCAAGTTTCCTAGGAAAATTCCTATTCTCCGCAATCAGTGATGACCACCAGAAGCGCACATGCACACGATGCCAAAATCCAGAGTTACCTGCAGAGCTACTCTACCACTGCCCTTACCACGTGCCTGTTAACACTGACCATCGCTTTTCATGGATTACTTTATTAAATCCTCACAACAGCTGACAGGGGCACAAATAATTACACCAATTTTAGAGTTGAGAAAATTAGACTCTGAAACAGGCTCAAGGTCACGCAGCTGAGCAAGTCCAGTCTACCTCTCCCTTCCTTCTCCTCGTTTCTCCCACCAGGACAGGACCACGAGATCTCTCTTCCCAGTGCCAATTTGCTCAGTGGCTTTTCACATCCATTAAGAGAATCTGTGTCATTCGCCAAAAGCCAAACACCTGCAGCATGTATGCACATGTGTGGTGCCGTCCTACTCATGCAGCACCCCGGACTTCCAGAAACAATGGAGAGTCTTTCAAGTCAAGCTCACAGGCAAACCTTTTCCAAAGTCCTTCAGGGTTGAATGAAAGGTAGAAGACTCAGCTCTACCAACCGAGGTCATATTTGTACCTTTTACCCCAGCAGGTGGCTCCTTCCCTTTGGCTAAGAGCAAGAGCTCATCTTCCCTAAGGGTTAGCTTTGGGGTTAGAGATGGCCACTGCCTTGTGTCCTTGCCCAAACGTGGGAATTTGGAATAAATCTGCTACAAAACCCAACCCATTTCCCCTGAGGGTCCCCCCAGATGCAGAAGGGCACCTATACAAATCAAATCCTTGAAGTAGGTATGTTGAATCAACAGGTATCTTTGAGCTTCTGCCAGGGGAGAAACTGTGTGCTACCTTCTAGAGAAAGAAAGAAAAGATAGGCATATCCTCCACCACCTGATAATGCAGAGTGGGGGGTGGGGGGTGACACCTGACACAAATCATGCAGTAAGTGCAGTAAGGAAGGTAGATGACAGGTTATGTTAACAGGACCATGCAGAGCAGGGGAAGGAGGAGCCCAGGTCCAGGGCAGGGCCCTTGAGCCAGATCTCTTTACTCTGATTGTGAGCTCACCAAGCAGAGAACTTGGGGGAGGGGGTAGCTAATGCTCCAGAAAAGCAAAGAAGTTTGTTACCAAATCCCAGAGGCAAGAAAGAGAACACTGGACAGTGGTGGGCAATAGAAATAATTCTACATGCCTGGACTATGAGAGAATGAAAAAAGAGCTCCGTTTGTAAGGGATGTGGGACCACAAGGCACCACAAGGGTGTGATGGGCAACACCAAAGCACCGTCATTTATCCGAAGGGAGCTACCTAAGGGGGGGGGGGGCATTTTATAAAGAAGGTGTTGGCCAAGGTACACAGAAGGAGGACAAAATCTGGAGGCCAGAGGACCAATTAAAAGCCCCTGCAACATCCGGTCCAGGCTCGTGATGAAATGTGATGGAAGTCAGCATCCAAAGCCCCCCATGTATTCCCCATGTGCTGAAGTACGTAAAAATACACCAAGTAAGCCCAACCAATCTGTACTCACTGCCCGCTCAAAAATATCAGAAGAGATGCAGGTGACATGTTCAATGCTAGGAACTAAGTCAACTTCTGTCTATCCATTTAACGTTGTGCCCATACATCTCAATGCCATCAAGTGTTGGGTGGATGCACAAGGGCTCCTAGAGATCTGAGAGCCAAAGCAATGATTCTAGAAACTATTCAATAAACCAGATTTAGCTTCACCCAGGTATATATGGAAACTGCATATCCTCTCTTGCTATGAAAGGTATGCTTTATAATCTAGTAAATTGGACCAAAAGAGATACAAGCACTCAGGCACCCCAAATGTTTTCCTTGAATGCCAAAGGAGACCAAAAGGCCCCTTTCTTCAAAATTAATATTTTTCCTAAGAGATGGGTATGAAGTATTTTTTTATACATCATCCTCAAAATACATTGGCAGGATAGGTGATTTGAGTGCAAGGATTATGCCTGTTTTCTAGAGAAGGAATGATAAGGAGGAGGGAAACAACTCAAGATCTGTTGTGATTGTGTTCTAGTAGCCTCATCATCAAATGGAACGTCAAGTGTTGACCTGGATACAGGAGCACATGCACCTTAAGCGGGGTATAGAATAACAATTTCCCTGAATTCTCAGTTGGCTGGTAAATGGTGTAATCAAGGTCACAGAGAACGGTAATGATTGGACATTGGAATGGATGTCAAAACCTCTTGACTCTAGAATTTTACTGAAGAATGTACTGAGAAGTTGAGAACATGGGTTCTGGAGTCAAAATGCCTGGGTCTGAAACCTGAGTCCAGCTTTTATTGGACATCAGACTATGTCCTGCCTCAGTGTCCTCATCTCTACAATAGGGATGTTGACAATACCTACCTCTCAGCTTTCACGAAAAAACATGAATTAGTTCATGTTAGAACGGTTCCTGGCACATGGGAGCCCCCCGAACACATGCTATAAAGAACAGGCGTCATCCTATTTATTAGTAGCAGACTTTGGGGCAACCTTATGCCGTATTTCATTCTTAAAAGTATTACTTGGCACTCATCAACTATGGCAGAGAAGCTCACATGTAGCTGCACAGATGTCAAATGAAATCCAAAATTATCTGCAGTGGCGAAACATAAGATCTCTCACCTTGCTCCTACAACAAGTTCTTTCTGTCCTGGGTCAAATGTTAACTGCGAGAAATCCACAGCATTCTTCGCTCTGAACTCCCGTAACCAGGGGCCAATTTCTAAATAGGAAAAATAAATAAATGAGAAGATAAAAATGAATGATTTTTTCCTCCAGGGACCACAAAATGTGCACAACAGGTAGCAAACATTACATTTCACAGAGGATTTGGAGGTCCCCTGATGTGATCGCGTAGGGGCCACGGGAGGTTTCCAGCAGAATTCCAGCAGAATGTTACACTGAGGATGTGTAAAACCTAGAGAACGGCCACCCAATAAAGAGTGAGCAAGGCATCCGTGCTCGGGTGTGATTTACAAACCAGATGTGCATTTTCCTCTGGGCTCTGGGCTGGGCAGAAAAATCACACAGCATTCACACGCTTCATCAAGGGAATACTGAACGCAAACAGGACCATTTCCTACGTGTGCTCACTGGCAAGAACTGAAGACTTGAGAAGTACAAAGCCCTCCTTGGGACCCAGGATAAACACGGGAGCACCAGCAGCCCTCCTTCAAAGTGGACACCCTATGTCTGTCCTTTGGGTTTCAATTCTATTCTATCAGGTGTGTTAAACTCATACAGTGCTTTCTAGATGAGAAATCCAGTTACTTCTAGGCCTTGTTGGCATTCTTTTTTCTCTATGGGAAACCAGGAAATAGTCACTCTGTAGAGGCAGGTTTTTCACAAGACTATGAACTCCTATGACACGGCCTCCAGCCTCAGCCTAGAGTCCATTCATGATAACATGACAGCCTTGGAGAAGGACAGAATGCTGCTCCATGAGCCTTTTTTGCAACTTTTATTAGCACATTTCTGACACCATAAAAATACTCTGGGAGTTGCCTGCCAGTCGCGGCTTGCCTTATCATTATTCCTGACAATTAGCCATGTTATCTGACTGTCATTTTTTTCTTGGATTTACTATTTTGAGTGCTATCACACTGAATAAAGGGGCACATGACAAATGTCACATCAACAAAGTCACTGGTGTAGCAAAGGAATAATGTCTCTCAATGAAAGCAGATGCCAAAACCAGATTTAATATGGAAATGTGCCCAGGTCCCATAACACATCCCACATAAACACCTTTGTTGACATGATCGAGATGGATTATTTTCCAGGAATGGCTCTGTATAATAAATAGAGCACTTCTCTACTACTGGTTACTGCGGGGGAAGAAGGTCATGAACAGAAAGTTCTATTCCGTGTAAAGGAAACCAGGGTTGAGGTCTATAGAGACCTGTATTTGGGCTTTGAAATTTTAATGTGTGCCTGGATTCATTTTAGAAGTTTATATAAATTTTTTTTTTGAAGATTTTATTTATTTATTTGAGAGAGAGAGTGAGAGAGAGAAAGAGCACAAGAGGGGGGAGCGGGAGAGGGAGAAGCAGACTCCCTGCTGAGCAGGGAGTCCGATTCGGGACTCGATCCCGGGACTCCAGGATCATGACCTGAGGCGAAGGTAGTCGCTTAACCAACTGAGCCACCCAGGCGCCCCTAGAAGTTTATATAAATTTTATTCATTTTAGAGCCAAGTCATTTAAGAGAAAACACTTAATTATAGTAAAGTAGGTACAAAGCCTTGGAGCTATAGAAATTGTTAATAAATGGTGTGTTCCAGAAGTTCATAATTCAGTTAGGGAACTAGACCTACTATCTTCTTTAAGCACAGGGTCTATGAATAGAAGATCTTTACAGGCGTTTGAAATGTTATAGGAAGTATTCACACACAGAAGGAAGAGAGGACAGGGCCCTAGGTAAGAAGAAAGGCAAGATCTGGGGTGCCTGGGTGGCTCAGTCGTTAAGCGTCTGCCTTCGGCTCGGGTCATGATCCCAGGGTCCTGGGATCAAGTCCCCACATCGGGCTCCCTGCTCGGCGGGAAGCCTGCTTCTCCCTCTTCCACTCCCCCTGCTTGTGTTCCTGCTCTCGCTGTCTCTCTCTCTGTCAAATAAATAAATAAAAAAAGAAGAAGAAAGGCAAGATGTGACTGCGTATTTACAGTGCAGATGTGTTCCACGGGAACAGAGCAATGCGGAATGCCATGGTGCCCCGAGGGCCATAATCGGTGTTGCTCACCTTCTTGCCCATCAGGCCCCATCAGTTCTCTGTTTCTGGGAGCTGGAGCCGAAGGCTCTTATGTCTGCAAAGCTCCCTGAGGTGCCGACAGCCCACAGCACAGTACTCTGAATGTGGGGAGGCAATCATAAAAGATGCAATAATGAAAGAGCAACAACCAGTAGGTGAATAAGGAGAATGAAAAATGAAAGGCACGAGGGAAAACAGAAAAGAGAGAAAGGAAAAAGCAACAGTAAGTCAAGAAACCACTGGGAGGGATAACTGACAGGTGTGTTTAAATATAACTGTAAACATATTCGCTCCCAGGGTCACACATTTGGACTTGGCTTCATCCGTGACAGAGAGGCTTTGAAAAGTTCTCGGGCAAGTACTTGACCCATGAAAGCAGGTGCCTTAGGAACGTGCCTGGGCCACTGGTGGGCAGGATGGGGCAGGAATGTGAGACGTTAGAAAGCACCACCATACACCTGTGAGGTGGTGGCTTTATTTCCAGTGGCTACGCGAATGCGGAAGGAAGAGGTGGTGAGGGCGTCCCATGGGCCTGATAACTCACTGCAGGTGAGGCTAAGGGAACAAGTGGAAGATAACGAAGTCATTCCCAGGCTAAAGGAAAAGGAAAGCAATGATGATGAGACACAGGGCTTAGGAGGTAAGCGTGGTCTGCGAGAGAGAGGACAGGTCAGGTCAAGATCACGTGGGAAGCAAGGCTCCAGAGCCATCGCTGAGCATGGCTAAGACCTGGAGGTACCCAGAGAGCTGTTTTAGTTCAAGAGCTTCATCACCCAGACAGGAAACTCATGACCAGGGAGCCCTGCAAGGACTGGAGTCCCCGGCTCCTGAGTCTATTCTCCGAAACTCGCAGCTCCCAGAGCCGGGCACACATGTTGGACTCAAGGCGGCGAGAATGAGGAGGTTGCAGGAGGCGAGAACAGGGTCACAGGCTGACCTCTGTGTCAGAGGGGTGGACATAGGAGCCATGTAAGGCGAGAGAAGGCTGCAAAAAGACATCAGAAAAAAAATCCTTGAACTTGCCTCTCACGAATTAATCTCTCTTTTCCATTAGACAAATGGGAAGAGAGTGGCCAACGGGGACCAGGAGGAAGAGACATCCTTCTGGTTTGGGTTCCTATACTGAGGGATGAAAACGGCTACACTGCTTCTTAAAATGCCCTCAAATAATAACAGGAGGCATGCAGACAGGAGAAACAAGTGAACGACCTATAGTTCTGTCACTCTTGTTCCCTTTTCCTTATTTAAATTTCCAAAAAGCTACCCCACTAAAACAGTGTATTTGTATGGTGAACACTAGCTCTCAGTTGGGTAATCTGGACATTCTCTTCTTTTTTTGATTTTCCTGTGCATTCCTCCAGGTCTGGCTACCCCACTGCATCTCACATGCCCTCTATCTGACCGAACAGCACGAGGGCCTCGGGGGAACGGTCTTGCACCAACCCAGCTCTCACTGAGAATGTGCCTGTCCCAACACCACTCCTCCACTTTCCCTGCAAGATCAGAGGCTGGTGCTCTCTCCTCTGTGCCGAGACCAGCCTCTCCTCCTCTGCTCACCCCACCTCTTCCCTCTTCTTTGGTCCCTTCTCTAAATCACCTGTTTTCTCCTCTAATATGTCCCGTGTTACAAGGCCCCTTCCCTCTGTCTGGAAGTATACACATATTCCCTCATTAAAAAAAAAAAAAAAAAAACCTTTTAAAATACATTTTCCTTACACTCTTGTTATGACAGTGTCAAACACCCAAGACAAAATGTATAGTAAACGCTCAGGTACAGTTTGTCAAAGAAGGCAGTAGGGTCAGTTTCACATGTACATTTCAACAACCCTTTAAGGAATGGAATGGAATGCCAACTTTATACAGCTTACTTCAGAGATGAGACAAAGAGGTAAAGCTTCCTAATGCAGTACTGAGGCGATTGTGGTCCTGATAATCTTGCCAGTAAGGCTGCACAAAGACATTATGGGAAAGGAAAATCATTGGCTACCCTCATTTAAGAATATGGCTGAGAACACTGCTAACTAAGGGAAGATGCCTGTTAGCAAATCACACACACACACACACACACACACACACACCCCGTTTCATATGGGATACGGTTTATTCCAAAAACACAAGAATCGATCAACAAGCTTAACATCAGAAGTTCTATCCATAGAATTTGCCACCACAATAACAGATTTCCATAGTAGCATGAAGAAATTATTAGTGCTGCTTTAGAAAGCATTGGAAAACCATCATAAATACAGAGCTAGAAGAATACATGTCAAGTAAGGCCGGTGAGGACAGAGTCTGAACACGGGGCAGATGGTGGTGAACAAGCTCAGCAGATGCCAAAGAAATGCCAGGGCAACTGAAGAGAGCAGGGGACAGCACACAGCACATGGCAGGTTGAGAGTACAATTTCCAGTAACGTTAACTTTCTTAAAACATGCTCACTCCTCCCAAATGATGGGTTTATGTTTTTCCTCTTCTCTCTCTTCTGATCTTGCTGGAAAAAAAACCCATTTGATGAAATGGAATTTAAATATGGCAGCCAACACAACCTTGTTTGGAAGTTAAGTAGTCACATAAAACCTGTAACTTCAAATTGAATACTTTGTAGATAATTTTGAATATTTGACAGTAATCATGCTAGCTAATCCATTCATTACACAAATAAGGCTTTTTAAACGTGGCCCCTGGCAACAACTTTCTACTGCAAAATTAGCTGCAAAGATACATGTGTGCCTTTTCTTATGACCACATAAGCACCCCTGTGATTGTCCTGTAAATATTCTAATAAAAAGTATACTGATCTGATTTTTAAAAGAACCCAGCATTACTCTTCAAGAAATAACTTTTAGGAACATATGTTGGTGTTAATAAATTTGGCCCAAATGATGGTATATATAAACTAGAGACTTGCGCTTACAGATTCAAGTTAGTCACTCCCCACCCACCCCCAGAAGAAGAAAGAAAAATTTTTTAAAAGAATAAAC